CTCATAAAAGTTGCCACCTAACAAGAGACCAATGCTTGCACGCTCCCTGCATACAGATGGTTGTTGTGGGTACCTCTTCATACCTCCATTTGTTGGCATAGATGAAATTGAATAACCATGATTACCATGAAATTCAAACTGAACACACAAACACCTAGAATCCTTCCTGTGCACTATTATTCTTTAGAAAAAAAACTTATGAAATATACTGGAAATGTATTTATCCCCAGCTTAGTGCCCGTAGCTCAGTGAGTACAGCACCAGCCACAAACACTGAGGCTGGCAGATTCAAGCCCGGCTCAGGCCTGCTAAATGACAACTGCAACAAAAAATAGCTGGACGTCGTGGTGGGCGCCTATAGTCCCAGCTACTTGGGAGGCTGAGGCAAGAGACTCACTTATGCTCAAGAATTTGGGGTTGCTGTTCTGAGGTTGCTGTGAGCTATGAGCCACAGCACTCTACCGTGGCAGCTTGAGACTCTATCTCAAAGAAAGAAAATATCACCACCTCCTATGCCTGGATACACTTTTAATACCAAATACAAGAATGAAGCATCATGATGCCAAGACTGCAAATTCTCCTGCACTCTCAATCAGCAAATACTGAGCCATATTTAGTAATGTTAAATCCCTGACTTTTAAAAAACTTAATTGGTGAGCCGCTGGATCCTCCCTGACACACTTCCACCTGCTGAGTCCTCACTCTCACTGCTAAGAGGCATTCTTTGACAAACCCACAAACTGGCCGACATTTTTTCAATAGAAACTTCACAACTGCTACACTTAACTTGAATTATACTACACCCACATTAGAGACTTTTTTTTTTTTTTGAGACAAGAGTCTTACTTTGCTGCCTTCGTTAGAGTGCCTCAAATTCTTGGGCTCAAGTGATTTTCTTGACTCAGCCTCCCAAGTAGCTGCGATTACAAGTGTCCACCCAAACGCCTGGCTATTTCTAGAGACTGGGTCTCAACTCTTGCTCCAGCTGGTCTCAAACTCCCCAGCTCAAGCAATCTGCTTGCCTCCCCCTCCCAGACTGCTAGGATTATAAGCATGAGCCACCACACCTGGCCTAAACAACTTCTTATATAATGGCCTGAAAGTTAGCCACATTTTAAATAATTTACATGAGAAACTGTTATTCTGAATTCCAAACAAGTGACTTAATTTTAGCCACCCACCCAAGTTGAAAGCAGGAAACTGAGGGCATTCCTAAATACACAATACCCTTCCATTCTGTAGCACTGCATGCAATATGGTGAAAAAGGCTTGATCCAAAATGAAGGCAGAATGCTAAAACCATATCTCCAAATTCTCAACATTTAAGCAGAATTAAAAGCTCCCCAAAGCCTACTCAACTGCAAAAAATTTCTTGCTGTATCACTGACCTACCACCAATATACCATGCCTAAAGCAGGACTTCAGTGGTTTTAGGACACAACCTCCTGCTTGTAGAAGCTATTCTCTCCCAGATGAGGGTATGTCATGCTCTCTATGGGTCACCCCAATAAAGGAGGAATCTGTCCATTTCCTGATGATACACAGTACAACTGCCCACTGATTTCCTGTCAAGGACATCCAACAACATGTACTACTTTCAAACCCATAAACGTGGCAGCCGAGAAAAGCTTCAAGGTTGAACTCTCGAAGTGGGCAAACTTAAGAATCCAAAAGGGATTTTGTAATCGCTAACCATGCAGCCCACTTGTGTTACCACTTGACAAGCAAGAGGCTAGCCTGTGAGGTTACGTGAGCTTACAGACCAGTAAATGGGGAACTGCCAACATTTTTCTATGTTGGTTTTAAAAAATGCATTATTTGGGGGGAAGACAGACCCGAAACTTTGTAAGTAAATCCAACGACCACAAACTCCACTGCTAAATTTTAAACTAAAATTACTGTTCTAAGCTGGGCACGGTGGCTCATGCCTGTAATCCCAGCAACTTTGGGAGGCTCAGATGGATGGTCACCTGAGAACAGCCTGAGAAAGAGCAAAACTCCGTCTCTACTAAAGATAGAAAAAGTATCTGGGCCTGTGGCAGGTGCCTATAGTTCCAGCTATTTGGGAGGCTGAGGCAAAAGGATTGCTCAAACTCAGGAACTTGAGGCTGCCCTGAGTCATGATGCCAAAGCACCCTACCCAGATGACAGAGTGAGATTTTGTCTCAAATAAATAATTGTTCTCAAACTGCTAGAAGGGAGTAGTTATACTCTTCATTTTAGATAGAGAAGTTCACACATCTTCTTATTTACAATAGGAGAATCAGTCTTCCTATCCTTAGCCCCAAATTCTGTATTCATTATACCATTTAGTAAATATAATTCAGTAGCCACAAAGATAAACAAGAATGAGAGGCTGAAACTCAAAAATATTTAAGCCCAGAAAGCTGCTGACAAGTACTCCATCTCCTCCAAGTTTAGAGCCAGTGACACGCACAAAGCAACGGGAATCTAGATTTGAAGACACAATCCCCCTCTCCACTTTGGGTTAATTCTACATTTCTTACCATGTACTTGTCTGAAAGAAGGATTTCTAATATAATTCTAACACAAATACTACAGAGTGTGCCATGTAGGGTAGTGCCTAATCATGCCAATAGAGAAATTTTTACTTAAGTCCAAACCTCAGATTTGTGTCAGAAATCAGTCTTGAGTTGCCCAGCAAAGAACCACAACTCAACTCAGACACAGCCTCTCTGCTCTAACACCCTATTATATTACCACTTGGGAAATAGCCCCAATAAAGCCACCCATTGTCTCCTCCCTGTTAGATTTGAAAATGCTTGTGGATCCTTGACTTTCTGAGGTAGGCAGGGAGAGAGGGTGAACCATTATGGCAAATAAAGTAATTCCACACATGAAGATAATTCTTCTAATTTATATTTTATTGCATTATGAAAATAATACATTTATTTGGCAAAGTAATCTAGGCTCCAAGTTGAAATAAAATTCTGAAGTGTACGGATTTTTTTTTTTAATGTGAAATAGTAGATGTATTCTAACCAATACATACTATCATTCTTATTAGGCCAATAACCCAGTAAACCTAATTTTAATGATTCCATATGAAATTACAAGGTGTTTTTTGCATTCATCCATTTTATGATTAGCACAAATCTCAAGAGAACTGACCTTCATTTTATCAAAACCAATGTATTCAAGAAACTCCTGTTCAGAAGACAATTGAAAACACTACCCAAATTTTTATTTCCTTTGGTTCTACAAGTTGCATTTTCATCCTTACCACAAGTTACATTTTTTTCATAATCAAACATTATAGCAGCTTTAGATTCTGCCCAAGTACCTTTATAAGTAAACTAGTATATTACATTTACATTATTTGAAAAACTGCTGATTTTACAAATGCAAAAATGCATAAATACATGCCTATCTACACCAGCAAAATAAAATACTCTAAACCTCAATTTTAACAGGCCACATCTGCTGGCCCAGGATTTCTGAGGTGCCTTTTCCCAGCCAGAGGGTTATGGGTCCCTAAGCAGCAATTCCACTGCTTCAGAAACACTTTTGAAAGATGTAGTTACAATCAACCCCAAGCAGATTAAATTGATCTAATAATCAACATTTAAAACGTGACATTTTCACTACTTATTTCTGGTCTGCTACATTTTCAGACTGAAAAGATAATTTTTTTTTTTTTTTTTTACAAATTCACGATAATGTTTTCATTTTTTTAAAAGGGAAAAGTGCTAAAAAAATATTACATATATATTCTCAATTTCCTCATCAGCATCTTCCCATTCTTTTTACATGTTGGGTTACAGTCTATAGAGTTAACGGGTAAGCAATCTGCTCAAGGTTAAAACCAAAGTATCTTTAATCATGGAGGTCTTCATTCTTAAATGATCTTTTAACAGGACTTTGCTTGACGTGTGTTAGGAAAACATGCCTAATATTAGCCTTTTAAAAGCTCACAAGTCATTTACTATTAAACAGACACCTTCATTAACCAAAGTCCTTGTTAAGTGCACCTTTGCATTATTTGTGGTACTTTACTTCTGAATGGCATTATCTAAAACCAGCTGAACAAGGCTTCCCAGTTTACCTACGAAGTATTCCACCTACCCTATAGATATTCCATGAGCACTCTACAATTATCTGTATAAACAGCAACAAGTTTGATCTATGATCAACGTAAGAATAGCTAATAAATATTAAAACTATAGATTAAAATGTAGGTCTCTCATAGAGTTAAGTGATGTCATTTTGGTACATTCACCATTATTGTACTTTATTTAATAAAGAAATACATTTGTCCTTGCAAAAATAGCAATTGCAAGTTTACAAATAAATCCACAGACCTTAAAAGTCATGATGCTAAACTAAGCCTTTAACTTAAAAACCAAAAGAAAGTAAACTGATTTGTCTACAAATGGTCCATGGGACTACAATTAAAACAAAAAATATCAAAAGGTCACAGGATCTTAAAGAATAGGTTTATTGACAATAATTTCATAAATATTCTAAAGAAAATTTCAAAATTTCTAAACTTAAAATGTTTAAAATCTGTTCTCATTGGCAAAACATACCTCAACAAAGTAAAATAGGACACTACAAATGAATGTCACATTTAAAATTTGCTTCGTTTTTAAATTTTGCCAACAACAACAAAAATCTTTAAAAATTTACAATATTTTATTTCTCTCCCCTCTTGGATATACTAAATCAGTATTTAGTTTTTATTCCAACTATTACACATATTCATTCATAAATCTACCTACTGTGAACCTGAAAGTCAGTCAGTAAGTAGTATATTTAACCCTACAAACATAAATGGAGCCCAATCATTTAGGTGTTTTTAGTCATAGCAATTTAAGTAGTCAAAACGCAAAACTTGTGGTTGTCCCCCCTCCCCAACACCCAAAGCATATTACACTGTCAGAAACTGTTTGCATCAGTTTTATAAGTTCATCTGTGTACTTCAGGTATCTGAAACTAAAAAAGGGATTCTTTTATATTTTGATAAAAATGTACTCAAATATTTCATAACATTAATATTTATTGCTTTATATGAATACTGTATTGAAAGCCCAAGCATTCAGTTTACACACAGAAATTATACAATTATATACCGCTTCACAAAGGCAGCGAACACATTACAGTCTACAAAATCTACTTTACAGAAATTTAAAAATTCTAAATATCAAAAGGTACAGCTGAAGAAACAGGTATAAATTTGGCAGCCAGTAATTTTGACAGGGAAGTTGCCGCTTGCATGACTTTAAATATGTGAATTTGAAAATATTGAGTTTAGAGTAACCATTGTGCTTTGTGTTGATCTGAAAAATATAACACTGGCTGTCGAAGAAGCATGTTCAAAAATATTTAATTCACTTCAAAATGTTATACAAATCATGGTGGTTTCTATGCACCCCTAAAGCTTCAGTCATTTAGCTCAGGTACATTACTAAAGTAATATATTAATTCTTCCAGTACAGTGGTGTTTCATACCATTGACATTTGCATACCCTAGAATAATTTAGAAAAAAATGTGTAATATTCACAATGTTCAGAAAAGCAAGCAAAAAGTCAAGGAACCTGCCAGGTTCTTCTGAGATGGTCTCTCGTGTCAGCTTCATAAGCATTCATTCTACAAAATAGTAAGCTACTGTTTGAATGCAATTTCCAAGATAAAGCACATTTTCTCATAAATAATGAAGCCTTTTTTTCTCAGGCACCTCAGAAGTTATACAAAAGAATTTCAGTTTGAACAGATCTCTTGGAATGTGTTTAACCTGGTATTTCAACAGACTTAAGATTTCCAGGGTTTCACTAGGGCCAGATTTTATTTCAATTACTCAGAAGAGAAAGAAAATGTCTTCTGAAAGAGGTGAACTCAATCATTACCAATAGAAAAAGTATCCATTGTATTCATCTCTTATAGAAACAGAAAAATATAACATTTCCCCCCTTAGAATATTATATATATGTATATATGACATAAAGTTCCCTTGTACATAGTCAAACAATAAAATCTGGAAACCAGCATGAAACCCTATAATTCACATGTTAAAATGCCGAAACTATGACTGAAATATGAAAACTGCTAGAGCTGTCAGAAAGAGACAAGACAAAAAAGTTTTCTTGCATATATTTAAACTAAATGTGATAATCCCAAAAAATTTTCAAAATTATAATTACTTTCCAGTTTAAAAACTTTAATTCTAAATTAAAAAAAAAAAATCTATACACAAACCACTGATTTGACCAAACCAAAAAAAAGTCAGCGGTAAGCAGGACCCAGAGGAGCTGATATTCACAGTTCTTACATGTACAACTCTTTATTTTACAACCTGCTTCTCTTGTAAAACTAAGGTCCACTTTTACAGAAAAGTTTTATACAGTGTTAAAACCAGAACTGTATGTAAAATACTGCATCTAAATGTTTCTAAATAGTTAGTCTTGTTCCATTGGTTCATCTGTGACTTCTGTAGCTTCGTCATCATTTTCGATGGATGATTCTGAAAAAATCTCTCCAGTTTTACTGGAATTGGATCCTATTAATAATTCTTCTGTTTCATGGCAGTCAGAAGAACTACTACTTACAGGGCCTGTGTTTTCACTACCTTCAGAATGTAGTAAATCTTTCTCAGCTTGAGACAGATCCGATTCCTCCATTTGATTATTTTCCTCAGAAGTCTCTTCATTCACAGTTAAGGCATCATCAGATTCTTTTTCTTGATTTTTTCTTTCTGGAATCATTTCTCTTGATGTCATAAAAGACTCTAAAAATAAGCAAATGTTGTTGTAGTTAAATTTTATTTTCAAAATACCTCCACAGTAAGTTTCATGAATTCTGATATTCTATAGTTCAAATCCTATCCCCTGAAATTCTGCAGCAACTACATACAGGTGGGAGAAAAGCCCAACATCTGCATTATAAGGAGCTCCGTTATGTTAAACTCTTTCACGAAAAAAAAAAAATGAAGTACAAGAATTTGAGGATCTCCTTACTCCACCCTTTTACAGATGGTCTCTAAATACCTTCTTCTTCCTCTTCATCCTCTTCTTCGTCGTCTTCTGTACAATGCTGCCTGGTACAACTACTTTCTTTGTCTTTATCCTGAGATGAAGATGCTGCTTCTGTTTCTTCTACCATAACTGAGGAACTTTCCCCGGCAGTTGTTTGACTGGCCGTTTCTCTGACTTCACTTTCTTTGTCAAATCTGAGTCTTTTGACCTCATGCCCCTCAGCTTCCACAGCATCTTCATCTGGATGTTTATTTTTTATAGGGCTCACTGAGGAAACTTCAGATTCAGATGTCGAAAAGTCACTGTAAATGTTTTTTTAAAGTGTCATTAATAAGATTTCCTCATCTTCTACATTTTCATTTTTAAGGTCTAATACTTCTAAAATTCTCTTAGTGTCAAATTATAACTTCAATGATCAAAGAAAAACACAAGAGAACAATTTTAAGACAAACTAAACTGTTTTCCAATTAGGACCTAGTCAGCAAGTTACACTGATGTTTCTGTGCAATTCGACAGTTAATTTGAATATTCTCCAGTAATAAAACTACAAGTCTTTCACGTAAACAGAGTCCTCTTACTGATATAGAGAAAATCTGGGTAAGAGAGAAAGATTAGAGGGGGGTAGAATATACCTTTGGCATTGATTTAATGCTTTATACTTTTCTTAGCCATTTTTGAGGAGGATGGCTGACTCTATCCTCAGCAAATGACCCAGGTTAGAAAGCAAATGAAGCTGCGTGCCAGTTACTTGATATGAACTTCATTCTCTCTCCATGTACCCAGCTAAGACCTTGCAAAATTCAAGGTCTACGGAGGTTAAGTCTGATAAACTTACATGTCTACTAGTATATTTTGACAGCAAAGAAAATAAAAGGGGGCAGTGCCTGTGGCTCAAAGGAGTATGGCACTGGCCCCATATACCAGAGGTGGTGGGTTCAAACCCAGCCCTGGCCAAAAACTGCAAAAAAAAAAAAAAAAAGAAAAAAATTTAGAAAGAAAAGAAAATGTAAAAAAAGTTTTTAAAAAGAGAAAATTTGGAATAAAAGGTTTTTTTGTAACTACAATGAGAAACTATTCCCAAACTTCAACTCACTTATAAAAATCTTTTCTCTTTTAAGTACCTTTCACAATTAAAAAACACCACAACTCCTTTAGGTTCTTTAAATCCTATTTAAACAATCTTTCTAGAGTAGCAGATTTAAAGTCTGTTCTATGTCCCATCCTCTGCTAACGCTGTAAACAGAAGCCACAGTCCCTACATACCACATAAAAACTTTGTTCTATCCCTCAGGATAGTATATTATAAACAGTAAATAATGTTAAAAATCATTGATAAATGTTCACTTTTTATGAAAACTTTTGTTTTTAATATAAAAACACATACAAACCTGTGATTTTTCTCTTCATTTGGCTGTAAGTTTGACTCTTTGTTGTCTGTGCTCTCAGGTAAACCATTTGTTGTCATGGGGGCTGACAAAGAAACCTTCGGTCTATTAAGTGGCCTGGGTGTTCCAGGCCCATTTATATTAGACCTATAATAAAATAAATGAGCATCATTTTCCACCTCTGTAAAAAAGTCATCATATGTCCCATAGTATATTTATATGAACATGTCACATTGAGTATTTGCTGTGTTTATTTTCAGATCCATACCTTACTAAATTAATTGTGTGGTATACCCTGTATCTTCCATAAATGCAAACTTTTTAGAAAGTACATTAAGCCTGCTACTCAGGATCAGGAAAATGCACACTCTTTGGGTATTAAGAATCTGGCTCGGCACCCATAGCACTGTGGTAACAGCACCAGCCACATACACGGAGGGTGGTGGGTTAGAACCCAGCCCAAGCTAAACACAATGACAACTGGATATTAAGAATCAATAACCTCACCTCTCAGTATAGCTTGGTGAATTGCCAGGAAACATAACACCATTCATTCGATTTAAACTATTAGAACTGTTTTTCCTATAAAAAGAAAAGAAAATACACTCATGGGTGGTTTAATTCTTTAATTCTGGTAAGAATCATGGGTCTAAATGATACTTTGTAAGATGTCACTTCACAGATTCAAATAATAACTACTAGAATTAACAAACACACTGTAAGAAAAAAATTTTTCCATCAACATGACTTGACTGTATTTTACAATCTCTACCAAAATAACTCACATTCATTAGCAAAACATAGCATATAATAAAAAGAAACTTTTTTTTCTTTGAAACACAGTCTGATTTTGTTGCCCCTGGGAGAGTGAGGTGGCATTGTAGCTCACAGAAACATCAGTCTCTTGGGCTCAAGCAACCATCTTGCCTCAGCCTCCCGAGTAGCTGGGACTACAGGCGCCTGCCCTAACACCTGGCTATTTTTAGAGACAGGGTTGGTCTCAAACTCCTAAGCTCACACAATTCACCTCAGCCTCCCAGAGTGCTAGGATTATAGGCATGAGCTACCATACCCAGCCAATAGTTCTTTTTTTTTTTTTTTTTTTTGAGACAGAGCCTCAAGCTGTCCCCCTGGGTAGAGTGCTGTGGCATTACAGCTCACAGCAAC